TGCTCTCTATGTAAAGCAGATACTAACACTGACATCTGAATCTTTTGACATAACTTTTATTGCAGGGAGACAAGCATATACACATAACTAGAACATCTCTATTGCAGATAGGAGTGGAGTTGTGCTGTGATATTTCCATTGCTTTCGGGCAGAAATGTTGCAAGAAAACAACCTAATGTACGCAAGGGATGTTAGACAAGTTACCACAAAAAGATTATGTAAAGTGAAGTTGGGTTATGTATACATACATATCATGAAATAATATGTGCGATGCTGAATCTGTTTTTAGGCTTTTCAAGTGTATTAGTCAACAAATGTTTTGTAGTATCACATGGTGTGTTACAACTGTTGTACTCTGAGCTTTTGCGCCATAAAACTCTGTTCATAAGAGTTTTTCATATACAGTATTATACAGTATAGTTCACAGTAGTTCTAGAGCTGTAGATTGACATGATACATAATTGCAACCAAAATCATAGTGGTTTGCTTTAAACTGCTATCTAAACAGCTGTGGGCCCGTCTGATGGTGATGGATGACTTTCAAAGAATGTGCTTTTGGCTCAAACACACATTATATATAAAACTGATTTATGGTTAAGTACGTTGAAAGAAAAATCAGAGGCTTGCTACCGTGCTAAGTTATTAGATTTTTAACAGCACTTGTTATTATGCAGAGGTGTTTTCATGTCAACAATAAAGGTAATTTAATGTCATCCTCAAAAGTACAAGTGAATGTGCAAAATGAAAACGTTTTTTGCAGAGTAGAAATATTGCATTATTGTAGAACAACAGCCCTTTAACGTTGTGTTATGATTTTTCTTTTATGTATTCTGCTACAATTAAGTAAGCTTCACACTTAAAAAATGACACTCCTTGTGTGTTTTGGAAGAACATGTGTGTGCTTTATCATGTATTTTAAGCCTTAAGCCTTAGTTAATGTCTCAATAGCATTTCTTTCTGGAATACTACAATACATTTAATACTTAGCTCTGTTTATGGATTAGTTCTGAAAAGCTTAATTTGGTTGAGTCGGAAAGCTTTAAAGTTTTTTTTGTGCAGTTTAACACAAATCCTGATCTACAAAGAGCAATAACTTGTTTTTGTTCTGTCTAGAAATCCTTCCTCGCTGTGTCATTTTCATCCTTCCTCCTACAAGTTTCCGACTCATTGTCTTGCCCAGCTTTTCTCTGCTTCAGAGAAAAAATACCAAAGGGTGTGAACTGACTGTTCTACTTTATAAAAAAAAAATCCTTTCTTCCCGTCTGTACTTCCTTCCTTCCTCACTGAGCTTCCTCCTCCATCTCTGACATAACTCAGTTGTTGTGTTAGATAAGTCCTGCTGTGCAAATATTATGGATCCTTATTTGGGAGAACACTGTGACTGCTGAGAAACATGCTAACTTAGATGTGATCTAGTTCCTTTTTTACACTTTCATTCTTTGACCATAGCTTTGACCAGAAAGTGGACCATAGTTACAATGTAACATTTGTCTTGTGTAGGTCAATGCACTGGCATTTTATGATGCTGTCATAAAACAGCATCTATCTTGATAGCACTCAATACAATGTAGATTACCTTAGATCACATGTGTCAAACTCAAGGCCCGGGGGCCAAATCAGGCCTGTGGTGGATTTAATTTCGGCCCGCAGGATAATTTCTAATTACTATTAGATCTGGCCTTCCGGTATATTGCACGCACACCTTCACTCAATCCTGAGGATTTCCTCAGCTCAGAGCCTGACCCCAAACATTGATGAACTTGCACCCAAGATGAGATGCCAAGTATCTGGCTTGAACTAGCATCACAGAGCAGCACACTGAGTTTAAATGGATGTTTCCTTCTGCACTTTTTCTCTCACGACAACAGGGCATGTTTGTTTTTTTCTTTGAGGGAAATTGTTTTTTTGAAGCTGTTGTTGGCCTGTGGAAAAATGTAATCATAAGAAATGACTCCGGAAAAGCTGCAGATCGAGCCATAAGAAATGAATGCAACTGATTATTTAATGTTTAATGTTGTTTTTATAGGCAATCATTTAAGCTTTGTTAATTCCAGGTTTAATATGTGCAATAAGTTCATTTCATTAAGTTCTGCAATAAACATTGAACCAGTCCGGCCCTCGACTAGTACCGATTTTTTTATTTTGGCCCACTGTGTATTTGAGTTTGACACCCCTGCCTTAGATAATGCTGCTAAACCTTTGCAAACCAAAGTTTATATAAATCCCAAAATACATACTTCATAAACACTACACAGATTTCCAATTAAATGTAATTGCAATAACATGAATATTAATTATTAATTATGAATTATATTAAATTCTACAAAAATCCCCAACTGTATGTAATGATAGAGGGCAGCCAAATCAACAAGTGTCAATGTTTGCAAAATTAAAAAAGAAAAGTATTGATAAGGGAGTAACAAAAACTCAGTTACTGAATGTAATGAATGTCAACACTGAAGACAACATTATTGTTCATATCCTTCACAATAATAAAAACTGCAGGTGCAACAACAGCTATAACGCTTTATATTATAATTTTAATTTGATTTACAGTGGCAATTTAAGAAAAAATTGGCAATAGCTTGAGCCTTAATACTCATGCTGCATCCCGATTACAAAGCAGGGCTTTTTCAAAGGGCCTGTAGGCCGCTCAGCACTCGCCTGTTCATTAGACTGGGTTTGGCAAGTAGTTACCATGCAAGGTTAGAGATTTTAGCAGAGAAGGGAGTGAAAACAAATCTGTTTCCAGACAATTACACAATGGAAATGTCTGCTTTCTTTTACTCAAACTACCTTTATTGATATTGCACTAAAAACTCAAAGAGTTTGGAAATGTGCCCCTTTGGATTAAGTGGAGGGCCCTGGCTGCCTATCAAAAGTTAAAGTCCTGCAGACCCACATGTTAGATTTTAACATGTTTTACCCATGTGTCTCAAACCTTATTTATAAATATGATAAAAGACAGAAAATATCCAAGAAATACATGGAATAAAAATAAATGGCTTTTTAATCAATGCACATAAAGCTGTCTTCACAGCAGCACATTCAATGGAATAGTGTCATTTACTACGAATACAGAGTAAGGTGTATTACACAACCACGTTAACATACTTCTTCATGAATTCCCAGTTGCACGTATGCACATGAAGCACAACACATCCAGTTTTTTTTTTTAAATCAGTAAATAGGATCACCAATTGTCACCCAGCATTAAAAACTCACAGTGTTCCCTGAGATGTTTTGAGAACAGTGTGGATTTATCAGGCCCTGGGGAGCTCCTGCCTCTCTCTAGCCACACTAGCTCTTAATGAGACATCGACATGCACAGGACACACTCTGCTCCTTCTAATCAAATGACTTGCATGGAGGGCCACACCTGCCCGCCCCCCCTTTCCTTTTCCTTCTTTCTTCTTTTGGCTTGTTGGTTTGCATCTTCCTATCTTTGTTTCTCTTCTTGTGCCCGTCTGCACCGCCTAGACTGTTTACTTCCTTTGCTCCCCTATCTTCCTCCTCTTTTTCCTAAGTTGACTCACACTTGAATTACTTATTGTTCTGGTGAAGGTGAATTTGTGTTGTAATCAAGTAAGCCCATGCATTAAAGGGATTGGGACTATATTAAAAGATCATAATTAAACTAGCAAAGTATATTCATGAAGAACAATGTTGTGCCTATCATGGCCTCTCTTTTAAAATATGTTATGTTTTCTTTGTATTTTATAGTTAGTTAATCAACAGAAAATACATTTAGCAATTTTGATGATCAATTTTAGCAATCAATTACTTTTTTATTTAATTTTTTAAAGGCTAACCAAGATTAGAAATCAGTTTTAGGCTTCAAGTTTCAGGACTGCTACTCTCTGTCCGCCTGCCCTTTGACCTGTAAAAACACTGCGCCCTGTTTGTTGCTTCCCATTTATAGCTCTGCTTTGTTGAGAGTGGATAAAGATCTGACCCAAGATATGAGATTCTGAAAGTGCTAAAGGTAGTTTTAGTTCAGGGTTTTTTTCTTGCCTTGACAGGACAGTTTTACTCTGGCTGAGCTTCCTCTTTTCTTCCACAGCTGCCTGTTTTCTTATTATCTCTCAATGTCATTGTGATTCACATTTAAATTCCAACCTAGAACGAACTCTGGATGAATGACAATTACTGTATAATACAAGATGTCAAAACAAACAGGTTTAATATGCCTCGCTGGTATCAACAATGTACCTTCTGTGTCTAAGCGTTGTCAGCAGTCTGGTAGATTGAGACATGCCCAAAAAAGGTTAAATTGTGATAAAATCAGGACTTCTTAACTTAGTTTTTTTTTTAAAGAGTTACATTTATAGCTGGGGGAGTAACAATGACGTATGAAACGTTGGATTCTAATTCAGCCTATTAATTCACGCTGTCAAATCGAGAAAAATAGACCTCCCTCTCCTTTGCATAGAACCTTATCTGACCCTTATCGGACCCCAAATGGGGTTTGAACCTTGAGAATAAAAAGCTAGGTTTTATTTTACTCTCTGGTTTGGTTGATGAAGATCATGTAGCATAACATAAATGACTACCTATTGCTGGGACCTCAGTCGCACCGTGCCCGGAGGTAAACGGTGGGCTATATGCAGACACGTTTTGACAGATTCCCAAGCAGAGAGAGTTTCAGTAGGGATAGGGGCGTTCACCGGCAAGTGTCAAACTAACAGTTGCGTCAATCTCCCACATATACACAGAAGGCGGCAGGAAACCCAGCTAATCTTCCTTATAATAAAAGCACCAAAACTCGCTTTCAAAAACTGAACGAAAAAAACAACAACCAACTAACTCCGTATGTTTTGGAAATCTGATCAATGTCTCTTTAAGATAGTTCCAGATGTTAATGTTACCAGACACATGTGGGTTTAACATGTAACCGCTGTGACAGTTACAACAACACCGCTTTTATTTTGAAAGGACAACACGGAAGTGACCCTTGTTTTCCCGTTAGCTTGACACGTTTCACTAACTGTCCGCCCTGCCCTGCTTGAGTTTGCAGTTGAGTGCGCCAGGGCAACACGGCTGTATTATATAACTTTAATGTAGGCTACTCACGGGTTTAATGGCGCAAGAGCAGAATATCGCGCCGCAGATCTGTGGATTCATTGCGGAATTATCCTGAACTCGAGTGCAAGTGAGCGATTGATCACTTTTCCCTCCTACTGGCGACGTGCGTTAAAAGTTATCGACAGATCGGCGGCACGGCGCACTCGGTGGATCCCGTCAGCTTCAGACAGGTCGGCGTCGTTGTTGACTTTAGTTAAAAAATAGTTGCTATTGCAGACGATGTTTTCCTTCCGTGCGAGGAGAGGGGTGACAACGAATCCATTTGACATTTCACCACGCAACATTACAGCAAGGAAGGTGTTTTATTTGAGTGTGTGACTCTGGGGACATTGCGTTATTTCTCACAATTTTTCCAAGTTGGACTGACAGGAGATGAGATAACCGGCGGAACACATCGTTCTTTCACTACAGGTATGGTCTGTTTATAATGCAACCACTTGGTTTACCTTTGGACACATATCGAGAGAGGCAAACGCTGGTTGTTTCCACTAATGTAGGCCGACGATGTGCGTCCCCGGCGCTGGGTGGTGGGCGCACTGACAGCCCTGCACCGTGCGACCAACTGATTTCACCAACATCGCTCCGAGCAAGCCTCTTATTTTTGTAAGGAACAGAAAGTGTTGCAAATAGTGCCGCTTATTCGGGTCTCCGGTTGTAGGCGTTCGATCAGTGCAATTTCCTATCGCAGCCAACAGGTTGCAGTAATGCCGTAATGATGTGTTGTGCTCTTCGGTGGGAAAGTACAGTAAGCTTTAGCAAGTCATGAAACTCCAAACTTTTTAAAAACTTTGAAATACCAAGGATTGTTTTACCTTCCTAAAAATGCATTACAACAACAATCTCAATTGAATCTCAAAATGAATTTGATGTTAATGCAGTGGTGAAACATATGACCAAAACAATCTGTCTAATTCTCCACCATGGGAGATAGATTTGTTATTTCTATCTATAGAAATAACAAATGTGAAACCAGTGAGAGTCCTACATGACTCTGCATGTCTTTTTACCTCACTTTAAAACACAGAGCAGCAGTAGCTTTTCCAAGGAAGTGCTGTAAACCGCTGCTCATATAGCACCATATAGGCTGTCTTGTATGTGCTGTATGCAACCATGTCTTCTTGGAATGTCATAGCCAATGCTAAAGTCGACAAAAAAATAAAATAGAGTGAATCTGATGTATTGCATTGATCTTAAACTCAAAGGAAATTATGCAGTTGTTGTTACTTGATTTTTTTATTAAACAGTAACTGTTTTTATTTGACATTTACTGCATATAAAGGACTATGATGGACTGTTTTGTCATGTAGTCAGAGACACTGACTTTGAAAAAGATAAATTGCCACAAGTGACTGCTTGCCTGGATACTTATGTTCTGTCCCTCCAGATATCGTTGTTAATGATCAACAGTTAAATGAGTGAGCTCCAGAACTCTTGCACACAGGCTTCTGTTGCAGAGGTTTCTACCACATTATTTGACCTACATACATTTCATATTTATTACACTTCACTAACACTTCCAGTTTTGTAAATTGGAGTTTTGAATTAATTGTTAATTTACTCTCTTTTGCAAAGTGAGATAGGCAGTTATTGGTGACTGCTGCAAATGCCCACAGGCCCCATTGTGGGTTAATCTCTTTCGACAGATGTATGTTGTTGCACACATGCTTGACTGTATCTGGGACTGTCAGTGGCACTGCCTGTTACACAACTTATGCCTGGGCATGTCTCCCACTACTTGATGCTTAACTTGAGTGGAGGGCATAGTTCAAGGGAATAACATGTACATTATAGTCCTTTATGTTATGTAATTGCCGTGGTCTTCATTTTTTTCTATACTGATTTTGCTCAGTAAGGTTTATGCCATGTGTGCTTCTGCCATATTGCTACTGTGTGGGTGTCAAAAGAGGAGATGGCCTATTTTTGATATGGCTGCTGTCATTTTTGACAAATATAAATAAATAAGACATTGTTGTTGGCACAGTCATAGTAGTATATGTAAGCCTTGCACTTGTGCACTTTTAAATGCACCTTAACTCATTTTTAAACGAATGTTATAACACATTACTGTGACAGATCCAGAAGAAATAGCTACTGGGTTATGTATCATCTTACTGCGAATGTATCATCTTATCTGCATCAACTCTGGTTTTATAGACTAACCGTGCCTCTCATCTCTCTCACTCTGTGTTTGTTGTGCACTCTTTCACTTTCCCTCACTATCTTGTCAGGATAAAGAAATGGATCAGGGTGGACTGAAGCGCAACGGTAATCAAGACGACAGCCTGACATTTGGGGAGACAGGATCCGGAGTAGGCAGGGAAACGGGTGACACAGCTGGTTTACTGCTCCAGTCTGCAGGGCACCTGCTCGGTCCCAGGTCTATGCCCCAGCCCATAGTGGTCCCGAATGGACATGGTGTAACCAAAGACCAAGGGAAACTTGGAGGCCTCTTTGATTCTCCTCAGCATCACATCCAATGTGAGGGCTCAGACATGAAGGAGGGTAAGATCACCAGAATGCAGAAACAACACCAGGATAGCGGTGTATTTAACATTGAGGACAACCTGCCGTTGTTGAAACAGAATATTTCCAATCTCAACAGTCCGGCCCGCTCTGTCATCAGCACCTCAGTCTCCTCTATCCTGGGGAATCTCCCTCTGCCTGATCTTTTTCCCCAACACATCAAGCAGGAGGGACATTTTTCTATGGATAAAGACTTGGAAAATTACAGCTGTCACACTGATTTAGATGAGAAAGGCAGTCGCCTAATGGAGGATACTGAAATTTGGCAAGACCTGGACCTTCCTAATTCTCTGCCAGAAATTAGCGATTTTGAGTTGGATTCAGAAGTGGCACACTTGGATAACATCCTACATGACAGCAGGGGTGGAGGCGGTCCTGTCAGCGGCTTGCTAAAAGAAACAAAGCCTCTGGTGGGTAACGGAGTAAACTGCAACAATGTGAACGGCACGGACCAGCAGCACCAGCCCATCCACCATCAGCAGCAGCAGCACCACCTTCTACAGCACCAGCTCCATCTCCAGCCTGCATCTCTGCTCTCCAGCGTTATGATCAAGGAGGAGAAGGATCCTGACGACTCTTTCATTCACATCCGTACTCCTGGTGTTGTGAAACAGGAGAAGCAGGAGAATCCAGGGTTCTGCCAGTCGCAGTGTCTGCAGAGCAGCATGAGCTCTCTCCATGGAGGAAGCTCCATGTCTTCCCCTATGGACGTCGGTGCAGGAGCTTCGTACCTATACAGAGCCAACCCATCCTCCACAGTGGGCCTACAAGACCAGGAGCCTTTTGGCATGTACTCAAACCTGCCTCTGGTGGGGGAGACCTGGGCCAGGGGGAACCGGTTCGGAGAGTCGTCCGGGTTGCAGAGGGGTGACGACGGACTCCCCTCCGCTGCAGCCTTGGCAAGTTTTTCTGTCAACTTCTTAAGGTAAGTCTCATGGAATTAGTTTATCCTACTTTGTTGACTTTTGCATCTGTGGCGGCTTTGGTGTTGGCTCTCATTCATGGAATGTTTGACTTTGTTTTTGTGTGCTCAGAGGTTATTTGCTTGTCTGTAAAATATGTTTAAAAATGTCAGTTGACGGTTATTCATACTGCACTGCAGTCTTAGACAGCTTGGGTCTAGACTCAGCTACTCAGCTAGAGGTTTGCCACCTTTTCTGAACCCAAACATTTTGTCAGAATAATTTGTACATCATATATTCATAACAGAACATGTTTGCAATATAACCGTAAAGACCAAACACATTGGATTGGACTATAATTGTCCACTTTTTTATGCAACTCGTTTGTTGATCAAAGGCATTTGATTATAAAATACGGGAATCACCTGACAGTTAAGAGACAAAGTGCGGAATATGTTCTCCTCAAAATCCCCCAAAATATGTTTGCACTGTGTCTCCAGCATCCACAGAACATATCTGTTCCCTGTCCATGCTCCTGAAATCAAATCAGACTCAGGGTGATGTATCAGAGCACTTCAGTGTGCATTTGGGAAATGAAAGCAGTCGGTTGGTTTCACAGCATTTAGGCTGGCTCTCCACTGGGATTCTAGCACATAAGAAACATCACTTCAATAAGCCCCAAAAAAGAGTACTCAGGTGTTGTTGTATGTTTGTTTGTGACATTTTATTTGTAAGGTAATTGCTAGCACCCCTGGGGTGGAGGGCATCTGGCACTTATTGCCTCCAATAGGCAGACGCAGCAGGACACACATTCCTCCAATTCTCCACATCACATCATTTTAGGAATGCCATGAAAAATAAAATACATTTGTCATGGCATTAGGAATACAGTCTTTTTTATTTACATACATATTGCCAGCAGAGTCAGATAAGAGAAAAGGGGATGAACTAGTTGCCGTGTTACAAGGAGGCAGTAGGGAAAAGAAAGACTGTTGACTAAGGAAGTGTATAAATGTTTCTTATCTTTGGGGATTCCACAATCTAGATAATGTTCTTGTGGTTGCTTAACATTTGTATGTTGAAAAAATATACTTTTTGAAACAATTGTGAAATTGTTCACATACACAGCAACTCACCGTTACTTTACCATGCTCTGCCTTCTGGGATTTTTCTAAATTGTGTTGTAATGCATTGCTTGTTAAAGAAGATATCACAGAGTTACGTAAATGTGTCCTTCCTTCAGTAAATAGTTTACTGAGAAATTAGTTCTGTGAGAAAATCATGCAGCAAGCAAAATGAGAATTGTCTGGTGGACACACTTCAATTCAGCTTGGATCTGATAACAAAACTGGCTGTGAGTAGAACTTTGAAAGAATGAGATTCATTTATGAGCTTTGTGACCATGAATGGGCAGATCACAAGATGGGTTTGATTAATGCAGAGTAATAATGTGAGTCAGTACTGTCTTTCTGAAACAGCCATTTAGGTGTTTGGCTCAGGCTGCTATGTAAACAAGTCAAAATGAACACGGGTGTCAGCTAATGCTATCTCCCTGCTGTCACACTGATATGCTCCTGTGTTCCTCAGCTATTAATTAGACTGTGGAAAAGTCTCCTTGCCATGGTTCATAGGTCTAAACTGTTTGTTTTTCTTGTATTTTTTAAACATATAATAGATAAAAGTAGACTTGAGTGTTGCCACAAACACTGACAAATCTTATTGTTTTGGCCCCTTTCTTTGGTCACTGACACACTGCAAGGGCAAAGCAGATTGTTTTACAAGGTGCACAAGGTAGAGGAGTGATTTGAGGATATGATTATATTTATCTAGTTTAATTGTGGCTAAATCAGTCTGTTTGGTTTATTGTACACACAGTGCTGTTGTGCTTCACACTCTAAGTACATGGGGCATTATCGTTATGCAAATGAATGCTTAAAGCACAGGAGCTGGACACAATATGATAAAATTCAACACAACAAACTAACACCACAATACACTGCTGTATTCCATATACTGTGCATTGTAAGCTGAGAGAGTTAACATGTTGTGCAGTGCTGTTGCATTCCTATATGTGTATGTATGATGTTGAGTATATCTCAAATAAGGAATGAAAACAAAAAATATGACGGACTCCCTGAATACCACGTGAGCATAGCAACAGACTCTATGTATTGAACTGTATATTATCACTGTATACATAGCTGCTCTATGGGAATTCTCAGCACAGTTGGAACACAATTTGGCTCGTTCAGGTTGCTTGGCTCAAGCTTCTCTCGTTATGTAACTGATAATCAAATGGTCTAATGTTGTTGCCTCATGCCCAGGGTGAAATGAGGCCCTGAAAACATTGTTTATTTATGCCTCTTTTTACATGTGCTTTATTTCATTTTGATTAACACACATCTTTCTTACGTAATGCATTAACCTTTAACTGTACAGTACTTAGCATTCAGTATATTGCAAGTATTAATATTTTCATATTAAAATGTGTGAGTCATACTCACGCAACCCTAAAAAGGGTTATAAAGTGTAATGAAACTCTTCTCTGTTGCTATGCTTCATGCGTCAGTGGGTGCCAGAGCAAGACTGACTGCGCCTGACTGTATCTCTGTCTGATTGTGTTTGTTTGTGTGTGTGTGTGTGCGTGTGTGCGTGTATGTGCACAGGGATGTTGGAAGGCCACGTGTACAAATCGGCTCTGGTGTGCTGGTGGCTCTCTGCTTGAACTGTCACTCAGTCTTTTTTTCTTCTTCTTACCAACTCACCCCTGATGGCCCCTCTGAGCTCTCCATATTTCACAGAGGCATGCAAAAATTGTACACGCACGCACGCACGCGCACACACACACACACACACACACACACACACACACACACACACACACACACACACACACACACACACACACACACACACACACACACACACACACACACACACACACACACACACACACACACACACAATCTGGACTATCCTGTTTATTTTTGAAGTAAGGAGACACTCTCCCATGTGTGTACCCAATTAACTTTTCACAGAAAATGTAGCTTGTGTGACATTGAATGCCAAATGATATTTTCTTCTGATCAATAACAAGTACACTTACTGTGTTGTGCCTAACCTGGAGTTTGCTTATGGTAAAGACTTTTTTTTTCCTCTTCATATAACTTTTCAGCCATGTCAACTTTGCAGTTATGTAGATTGTTAACACAGTTATTTACAATAGGCCTTCCTTTGATCTTCTTCTGGTCTAATTTTATTTTATTTTTTTAAAGTTCTACCTGACATGATGAAAGCATCTTAGCATGTGAGTAACTTTAACATTAGCATAAACACAGCATATTAAAGAGGCCAAAACAAGACAAAAAAAACCTGTGCAATATGCAATGTTCTAAAGTGTATAAAATGTGCTCTTAATCTACATTCCCTAAACAATAACATATTTGAAAGACATTTATGTGGCATTTTATTCCAATTGGAATGTTTACCAGTTGATGTCACTCAAAAAAGCAAAACGACTTGACTTTTAATACTGTATGTAGCTGCAACATAAGGTCTTCCTGGATAGACCCCTCAGAACAAAGTGGACACTTTATTCACAGTTTTAAAAACAGATCGGAGGGACCAAAATGTTATGCAGCAAAAATTATAATATGGGTCATAGTGAGGCATTTCAGCACTTGTTAGGCATGTTCCATAAATGAGAATAAGTGGTTTGATAATTATGGTAATTATTATGATGCATTGGATGATGATAATTGCCCCTTAGCTACATACACATTTTTGTTTAGAATTTTTCAGGCTGTCCATCCGGCTTAATTTATTATATTTGCATTATCTTTACCTGTTGTAGCTTGAAACTGTGGGTGACATAGATATTATTTTAGTTTTTAATGACTGCTTTGTAGGTTTTTGTTTCGAACTGTGGGTAGTAATTGACTGAGGTAGCAATGCCCTGAAGCAAAATTGGCTGACTGTATCAGATCATGATGTGTTACAGCATTTGTGAATATGTTTCTAGAAATCAGGAAACAACATTCAAGGTCTGACATGTACTATATTGATAAAGTCAGTTCAATCTAAATCTTTGTAAAACATTTATTACATTTCCATAGAGTGTTTAACAGAAATTACAGTTTCACAAAATATAATATTGTTATACTCTTTATATATTTTTACACCCAGACCTGTAAACTGTTCTTGATAGTCATTTCAAAACAGGAAGATTAACTAAACTAAAGCCAAACTAGGTCAGGTCTGTTGACTCAATTTCCTGCATTTGTAATCTCCAAGATTATGCCAACCTCAATCCACATTGTTTGTTTGAGTTCCTGTTGCTTAATAGGCTTACTGATAACCTTTGCTGTATACAAGGCCACATTTCACTGCTCTTTGCTTCTCACTATGTCTTATACTGTTAAATTGCTTTCTCCTTCTCCCCCCACCAAATTTGTCCCAAGCTTTACATTCACGTGGGATACAAACATGTTAAGGGTTTGGATATGTGCTGTGTACTTGTTGTGGAGTGGTACCATAATGCTATTACTGTTTATCCTGTAGTGAAGAAACCTTACTTTGAAGACTGCCTTTTCACGCTTTTTTTGAGTCCCAAAGGCGTGTGTAACATCAGATTTTGAAAGACATTGTCTCTGACTTGGTTGTCATTGTGGAACTGAACAATCGAAATTATTCCATATTACTAATCTCTTTTTTTAAAGAGGCTTTATACATGCAACCTGTATTAACCACTGTCATGTTTGCTCTGAACTTCAGCCAAGACTGATCCACCAACAAGATGCTCTTTTATTTATTTTTTTATTTTTTTCATTCAATCTATCTCTGCCTTGGTCATTATCCCTGCTATCAGAGCACTACTGTCCTGATTCTTTGATGTAGGCTTTGGAGGGCCAAAGGAGGTCTAAGCTTCGTAGCTGCCAAGCTGTTTCTTTATGAAGGCTGTTTTGGTGGCTGCTGGAATGTTTACTCTGGTGTCAGGTCCCCTGAATATATCCAAGGCCTACAG